TAGAACTTCTGTATTCCCAGTGCTCAGGTAAAGGAGCATCAAGATTTTGCCGTATTTGCTTCTACTATCTCTCTTTTTTTTCCATTTTGCTTAAATATTTTTGAAGCAAATTCCAGATACTATGTCATAAGTGTTTTTAATGTGCATCTTTAGTGTAGTAATCAGGATGCCCCTCCTGTAATCACAATGACATCCGTAACTTCAGTTCTCTGAGGCATTGTTACCAGCCCCACTCTGCTTTCTGAGTCTCCTGCCTGTGCAGTATCTTTAGCTCAAAATCTCAAAATGGCTCTCAACTCCACCAAGGGCAAACTCATACCCCGCTCCCACAAGCCCTAAGCTCTTTTGCTAGTATTTTGTGAATGCCATTGAATGGTACCACCATCTTCTAGTTTCAAAGGCTAAAAACGTGGCTTGGCGCTTGTAAGTGTTTAGGGCACCAGCCACCTACACCGGGGCTGGCAGGTTCAAACCCTGCCCTGGCCTACTAAACAATAACAACAACCACATCAAAAAAATAGCTGGGTGTTGTGGTAAGAGCCTGTAGTCCCAGCTACCTGGGAAGCTAAGGGAAGTGAATCACTTAAGCTCAAGAGTTTGAAGTTGCTTTGAGCTGTGATGCCAGGGTACTCTACCGAGGGCGACAGTGATACTCTTATCTCAAAAAAATTAAAATTAGGGCGACGCCTGTGGCTACGCCTGTGCCGTAACCACTGTGCTATGGGAGCCGAGCTAATTTTTTTTTTTTTTTTTTTGAGACAGAGTTTCACTCTCTTGCCCTGGGTAGAGTGCTATGACTTCACAGCTCACAGCAACCTCAAACTCCTGGGCTCAAGCTATCCTCTTGCCTCAGCCTCCCGAGGATCTGGGACTGTAGTAACCTGCCATAACACCCAGCTAGTTTTTCTATTTTTGGTAGAGATGGTGTCTTGCTCTTGCTCAAGCTGGTCTTAAACACATGCAGTCCACCTACCTTAGCCTCCCAGAGTGCTAAGCTTAAGGGCGTGAGCCATAGTAGCTGGCCTGTTTGGCTTCATCTAATCTCGGAGTCTTTGGACCTGAGTTCTCCCTGAGCTTTAATTTGGATACATTTGGCTTCAGATGGCGGAAACCTGATCACACTAGCTCAGATCCACATACATCATTAAGACGGGGACTTTCATGGACCTTAAGCTGGTAGTACAGGTGGGACTTTGTGGGTATTGAAAAGTCTTCAGGTACCTCCTTTCTCTGTCACTTTTCTTTGGCATAGCCTGGTCTTCTGTCTCTATTTTACCGAGCCCCCAGTCTCATGTAGATCCACTTACTGTCTTAACTCAGTTATTTTTGGTATCACTTGAATAATGCAAATAGAAGTTATTTAGAAAGAACTAAGTAGAACAGGGTCTGCTGCAGGGTGTATTATGTGATGTTAACATTCTGTAGGGCCAGAGTACTTAGACACCGACAGTTTAGATGCAAGGATTCAGAGTGGGTGCGGAAACAGTTTTCCAGCACAGCCTGAGAGCTCCAGGATTAGCTATTACACAGAAAACAGATTTGAATCTTTAGCTATTAAAAACACAGGCATGTTCATGTACCTTATAACAATGTTTCCATCAACAGCTGATAGCGTATATGATGATGATCCTGTGAGATCATAATACTGTATATGCAGTATTTTGATCTGCATACTGTAAATGCAGTATTTTTACTGTACCTTTTCCGTGTCTAGCTGTGTTTAGCTACACAGATACTTACCATTGTGTTGTGGCTGCTGTGGTGTTGAGCACAGTCACCGGCCTGCAGCAGGAGGCCATGGCATATAGCCTGGCTGTGTGGTAGGGAACACTGTCTAGGTTTGTGTAAGTTCACTCTTGGTGTTCACATAGCAACAGAATCATCTAATAACACGTTTCTCAGAACATATTTCTGTCATTAATCAATGTGACTTTATTCTCTGTTCTGTAGGGTAGAATTCAAATAATCAGACCATTTCAAACATAATTTGAAAAGCTACCATGGCCAGCCCAGAATGACCTATCTGTAGACTCAAAAACTACAAAAGGACCAAAGGAAAGAAAAACCAATTGGAAAGCATATTTACAGCAAATGAAAGGAGACAGTTTCTGTCATAACATTTAAAATAGCCTAATTAATTTGTGGGGAAATATCACTTTGAGTAAATCTTACATGAAAGTACACATTTATTACCAATATTTTAGAAGTGGAATATTTATTTTACTAAATCCTTTATGATGGTGGATTTAGGTATCAAATTTTTCTAGTACATCAGTTTGATTTATAGTACAACAATTCAGGCTTGGCGCCTGTGGCTCAAGTGGCTAAGGCACCAGCCACATACACCTAAGGTGGTAGGTTTGAATCCAGCTCAGGCCCGCCAAACAACAATGATGACTGCAACCAAAAAAATAGCCAAACGTTGTGGCAGGCATCTATAGTCCCAGCTACTTGGGAGGCTGAGGCAGGAGACTCGCTTGAGCCCAGGAGTTGGAGGTTGCTGTGAGCTGTGATGCCATAGCACTCTACCCAGGGGGACAGCTTGAGGCTCTGTCTCAAAAAAAAAAGTAAAACAATTCAAAGAAAAACTTGAGGAATTGAAAGGATGAGGGAAAAATGCCTTTATTGACTATCTACTGCATGTTATATTGTACTTCACTTAATCTGTTATTATAAAATAGTTTTCTAGGTGTGAAAGTGGCTTAGGGCAATTTCTTGTCAGAATGTGGAAAGGGTAGTTCTCCCGCTGTGTCACCCACCTGCTCTTTCTGGGCCCCAAGTTAAAGACTTTACCTATGTGTTTACACTTAAAATCTGTTGCCTGCAGTGGGATCATCTGTAGTGCATCTGAGACATGCTGAAGTTTTCTTTAAAGAGTCATATGTAGTCCGGGTGCAGTGGCTCACTCCTATAATCACCCAGCACTCTGAGATGCTGAGGCGGCTGGTTGCCTGAGTTCAGGAATTTGAGACCACCCTGAGCAAGAGCGAGACTCCATCTCTATTAAAAATAGGAAAACTAGTCCCAGATATTTGCAAAGCTGAGGCAAGAGGATCACTTGAGCCCCAGAGCTTGAGATTGCTGTGAGCTATGATGATGATATGGCACTCTACCCAGGGTGACAGAGTGAGACTCTGCCTCAATAAAAAGCCACATGTGTCAGTTCCTAGATGGCTTGTCCATTTCTAATTATTTACAGAGCACCATTTTCAGAGGCACTTTCCCTTTTAACTGTAGTTTCCAAATCTTTAGACAGTTGAAACTTTTCTGCAAAGAAAAATAAGGTGATGTTGTAGAAATTTAAAATATTAGTTTTAAAAGCAGTGGGATTTATGAGATTAAAACATACAAAGTAACTAAATCAAAGTATACTTAAAATCTAGCTTTTTTTCTTTTTTGTATTAAAAAGTTTTTGATGTTTAATTATTATAGGTGCATAATAGTTACACACCTTTGTAGGATACCTACAGTGTTTTGATACAGGCATTCAATGTGAGTTAATCAAATCAGGGTCATTGATGCATCTGTCACCTCAGGCATTTGTCATTTGTCATTTGTTTGTGTTAGGAAACTTCCATTCCACTCTCTTAGTTATTTTAAAGTACACACTAACTTTTAGGGTTTTTTAAAATTTCTGGTAGATAGGAGGGTACAAATGATTTGGTTACATTGTTTGCATTTCTCAGGTAAAGTTCAGGTTGTAGTTGAGCCCTTGAGCAGGGGGTGTGCTGGGCACCCCTGTACTGTGCACACTGGGCGGGAGGTTACCAGTTGTCCTCTCTCCGCCCCCAAATCTCGTTTTCTTCAGTAGTGTCTGTGTTACATTTTATTCAAAGACCCTTGATTTATGCAAGTCTGTAGTTAGAAATGTTAAGTTTTTTAACAGTTCAGCTTAGGGTACCTGAGAGTATACTTTAATTAAACTTTCCAGAAGTGCGCAAGAGGAACAGAAGAGAATTTGTGTTTCAAAATTGTTGCTAACAATATCTAATGATTACTTTATTAATTTTGTAGGTGTGAAATTTAGGAAAAGTACATAAAATGGTTTCTAATAAGTTTAAATCTTTTTGGTGGAAAATACAACACTGAAATGTTTAACAGTATCATTTGTTTAAAAAGTCTCAAATACTTTAGTGACTGTCTATTTGATAGTTTTTGTTTCAAGGCAGATTTCCGGTTTGGTGTGTTCTCAGATTCCCAGACACCAACTGAGTGTGTGGCTGCTGGATCCAGTTCTGACACTATCAGAATGGTTTTTACTATTGTTTTACTGTAAAGCAAACACAGCCCACAAATTAGGGGCTCAGTCCCACAAGACTGCCTTCACTTCAGACACTGCTGACCACTGGCTATACTTTTAAGGGTTCCCATGACCCCTGCTTTAAAGTATGTTTTTAACATTTAAAGACTCAAATCTGCTTACTGCATAAAATTCTGACCTGAACTGTTTCAGCACCAAGCTACATCCTCCCATCTAAGCTCTTGGTATCTAAAGATTCCTGTAGTCTAGTTTTAACCCTAAGCTCTTGGTATCTAAAGATTCCTGTAGTCTAGTTTTAACC